CTTCCATTTTTATTTGACGTAGTACTTGCTGTTGTAGCGTTGTGTAAGCGACGCAATTGTTATAGTGCACATAAAAGAAATGGCTTTCATTTCTTTAGTGTTTTCAACGATTAGATTAGCGTAAATAGGAACAGATGCTGAAGCATACGCGATTTACATTGTAATCGTGACGTAAAAATGGGAAGAAAAAAAAACTTCGTTTTATTCAAAAGGGGAATTGACGTACATTGAAAGTATAATATTCTTGTTGACATAGGCAGAATATGATTTTCTCGAAATTTAGCTCAAAACTAGAAAGGAACCCGACACTTTCATAGTAACAGCCTTGAACAATATCCAGTTCTTTCAGAAATTGGAAATCAGGCAACCCAAACCAATTTTTCTAACATCACCCATGTAAAATTTTTTATTGATTTAACAAAGCATCCTTACGTGAAAAATCATTAAAAATTTAACGACTTAACGATTAAATATGTTACCTTTTTGATCGTAAATACGCGTTAAATAAATTTAACGATTCTTCACGCGATAATTCGTTAGCGCAAATATATGGAATAGTGCTGAAAGTTCTTCTCGACTGTTATCAATTTTCTATAGATGATCAATAATTGTAAGTGACCAATATTCCTCAGGCTTTACTTTTTTTATCGGAACAATTTAAAAAATGAACTGCAGCTCAATATTTTAGACATTTCGATAGATAAAAAAGAAAAACTGTCCAAGAGTTATTGTATACACGATAATATTCATTTTTCTATGTTATCTTATGTCGGTTTTACTTGAAACTGAAGACGTTATGGGCTTAGTTAATCTAAACTAACTAAGAAAGAAATACTATAGTCTAACGGTATTTACCGTTACGGCTCACTTTATGTACTTTATCCTCTTCGCTGTATCCTGTGTTTGTGCATTGGCCTGATGAACTCTCATTGTTCTATTGCGTGACTGTTCCCTCTTTGTCTATATCCGCCCAGGCATGATCACTCTCGCATATACGAGGGAATGTAACTAAATGAAATGCACGACTAGAGATGTGCAGATGACACAATACACCATCATGCCGACGGGCATAGGCGACAATCTCTATGTTCGTCACACTAATGATTGTTATTTTTGTAATAAGTCAATTGCAACATAAATATTGGGATGCGGAGCATTTACATGCTTCTTCAATCGAGAATGGCGACCCTCCAAATAATTAATAGTGCGCGGTAAAATATTACGATAATGGTTGTACATATGCGGTGGAAATTTACTTAACGGTCCATATGTATTATGAAAATAGTTAAGAAATTCCTCAATGCCTGGATATACAGGTCGAGTATGAATTAAACATTATAAACCCCCATAGCATATGATTGAATGGTAATAAAGATAATGCTGCAAAGGATCGAAACGATTCGCGAAGATTTTCATCATTTTTATAGGCTGTTGTTAGACCAAGATCAACAAATTTACGAAATAAACTTTGCCCATAATGAAATAAACAACCTCGTACAACAACAGTAGGATCATTTTTAGTAAACACATTATAAATATTAACAGCTAGCTCAAAATCAATTGTAATTGTTCTTAATCTAATAGGTAGCCTGGACTGGAACATTTTCTTAAAAACAACTGTAAATAGATCTGTATAGATTTGCTCGTTTTTACCAGTAAGTAGTGCGAAAATACATGGTGTTGATATTCCATCATAATAAGTATGAATTGAATACATTTGGTAAAAAATAGATGGACAAGTGTAGAAAGTACCATCGTCGTACCAATTCTCATGTTGTGATAAATAAGCCATATCATTACAAGAAGAGAAAACTAGTGACCGAACGCCACCAAGTGGCCCATCGTATAATAAAAATGATTCCCCTTGTTTTGTTTTGCAGTAAGCTTCGGGTAATGGATATGGCAACTGTTCGATTTATTTTTGGGCTAGTGGATGAGTCTTACGACGTTGTTTTTGTAAAGTATTTTTAATTGTGGCAATAGCAGGCATATCTATAAGCAAATCATTAGATTGAGATTGACTATTAATTGCATGAAATGCTTCTTCAACTATACGATCAATGGGACTAGATTCTTCGGTAGCTTTTCGTTTTAAATTTTGTCGCATTTCTAATACTTCTTTATCAGTTTCGTCAGGTAGATGCGTATGATTTTCACGAACAATTACTGATAAATCTAAGTAACTTGTAGCTGTTGTTTGGCATTTAACACATATTCAATATTCCGAACCATTTTGATTCTTACGTTTCAAAGAATATCGATATCCGATGTAGCACAATTGTCGTTTACCATGGGTAGATTCAGTAAATATAGCAGACATTTTTAGCAAGAGTATGATAAGAAAGTTATGTTCTTTGAATTTATATATATTTATTATAAATTTTTGTCATATTAATGACTATTTTACTCCCCAATTTGATGAGCCTCCGTTATTTTAAATTGAAAATTTATTCAACAGTTCATTCATTGGTGACTTTTTTGCTTTTCCACATTTATGTAATATTTTGCTCAGAAAAGGAATTGGCTGTCAAGACCATTACTCATTTATTAATTTCTCTTCTTCGAAGCAATTAATGGACAGTAAATCGTGTACGGATTCAACTCAATGGGCGAGTAGATAATTAGTAAGCATCCATTTTAAAAATAATGTATTTACTTCCCAGGGGTGTTACATTACAATACACAAGGTTTAACAATGCATTACAATTACAATGAAATTATTATTATTATTGCTTTTTTTCTCATAACAACTCTTCTTAAAAAGTTGACACTAACCTATTCGTTTTTCTCTTTTTAGAATGTATTGTCATCCATCAATGACAACCAACCAGTCCTGATATCAAAAATAAAAAATGTAGGTATAAAACAATAAATTAATTTCTTTCTGTTTCTAAAACTCTAGAGCTGTTATGATGATGTCAAATTACAATGCAATGATAACTTATTTTCTTTTCTGTTTTACATAAATTCAAAGCAAAATAACTTACTTATCATTTCTTTTCATTTAGATTGTTCACAAAAACTATTCGACAAAATTAAAATTAAATTAAAAACTAAAATGAGATGAGACGAGATGAGAATGAGCGATTGAGTTCAGTCGAAAAAATAAGTATTATTCCGGACGGAATATTAAAAGTTAAAATTCATTTTTAACGCAAAAAAATACAAAACAAAAAAAAAGGAAGAGCCACTCATTGTTACTAGAAACGGCAAAATAGTGTAGAACTAGGAAGGCCTTTTCATGTACACGAGGTCATTGTCGTCATATTTGTACGTCATATCTTGTGTACATAGCCCTACCAGTCTGGCGTGGTTCGCTCTATGTGTACCCGTTTCATGACCATGGGGGCTCTTCTTGGTCACGCGCGCGACTATTAAATATTAATTAAGAAGCATTCAAACTATTTTATTAAACGAATACTAGAGAAAACAAACAATTGTAACTTCTTTTTCACACGATCTATAGCATTCATCACGACTTTAATATGCAGATGTGTTGGCGGAAGTGACGTTCGTAAAATATCAAGTGCTTTTCTAGAAGTGGAAGTGCTTTCGAGTACTCTTTCATTTTTTCATATAATTGGCCGATGTTGTTGTAGGAAGTAGCCAATAAGGGATGATTCGCAGGCAGAGACATTTCATTTATTTTGAGTGATTTTTCGTAAAACTCAAGCGCTTTCGAGTATTCACCCATGTTGTCATACACTAGGCCGATGTTGTTGTAGGAACTGGCCAAATTGGGATGATTCGCAGGCAGAGATTTTTATTTTATTTTATTTTATTTTTCGAAATATTCAAGTGCTTTCGAGTATTCACCCATGTTGTAATACACTAAACTCTGCCAGCGACTTTTGAAAATCTTCCATTCCTTCATCAATATTAGCATCGAGCCATACTAAAAGGAAATTTTGCACCATTCTTCTCGGCCGTGGTTGAAAGGCTTCTGTGGAAGTCGCGCTAGTAGTGGCTTGTTTTGATACTGCTGAAAACGCATTTTCACTGTATTCGGCACAAATTGCGCTGCTAGCCCCGGATGATTTGCTTTTATCCATCTTGTATGTATTTGAGAGCCTTTTGCTAATGTAAGAAAGAATGAATAAATGCAATGAATAACTAAGAAGTATTCTTTTATACGACTAAGATATCACCAATGCAGCATTTGCAGATTTGCCTATCCAGAAGAATTCAGAATTCTGTGATTTTTTGAAAAATTAAATACTCATAGAATAGAACTGTTGTGAGTTTCCAAAAATCTGAAATGTGCTTGTTTGGTATTCTGCAGACCCTAATCTCACTCAATTGATAATGACTTCAGAGAAAGACTCCCTTTCTAGTTGATAGCCCAATAAAATTCTCTACTACTTACTTAGAACTAGTTTTTCTAGCACTAATACCTTAGTGATAATACTAGCTGAAGACTAAATATGTTTAGAAGAAAGTTCAACGGCTTAATATGTTTATGAACGCTTAATCCTTTATTGAAAACCAATATTTTCAAGTCAAAAATCGTTCACTATCATTTTTCTATATGGTCTATAAACAATTTAAGTTGAACAACGCGGCATTTAGAAGTTTTACATTGAATATTTCTTAAATTTCGCTGTCTTCAACTTGATTAGTCTAAGAACGTTGAAAATAAAATATACTTACATGGTAAATTGTGTTAGGTAGTACAGTCTATTTCTATTATATTTGCAATGGCTTGCACACCAGATTTATCGTTGACGAAATTGCTTGTGTTTTTACCACTTAGTTTTGTTTACTTCAATCAATGAATTATATCATTTTCAAGAAGGAAGCAGTAGTTCTTCATATATGCGCTCGTCGCCGTGTGTTTTTTTTCTCTTCCAGTCATCTTTCTATTGCTTTCTCTTACTTTCAATTTTAAGTTGTTATGATCAAAAGAAAAATACAGGTTGAAGTATGACTAAATAAGCGAATCGCCTTTGCATCTCGAAGTTTCGTTTTTTGACGAGTAAAAGAAACCGTGATTGTTTGATTTCATACGTATATGAGGAATGTTTGCCGTGTAAACTTTTATATCTGACTTTCACAACAAGGACTCTTTCAATAAACAAGACAAATATTCATGAATTATATGTTGAATAAGACGAGGTCGGATATGTCGAGTGCGCAAGTCTATTAAAATTATTATTTCATTTGAAAATACGAAGAAGATTTATGCATATAGTTCATATTGATATATTAGTATGAATATAAATTTATATTATTCGTTAATAAGAGTTTGAGAAATTATTCATTCGAAAAAATGAAGTTGAGTCAAACTATGAAAACAACGGATTCTAGACTGTCGATTTAAGATACAATATTAAATACGAGAACTGATATTTTCATCATAGTTTTATGTATTTATTGTATAGTTGTGAATAGACTGCGTTGAAAAATTGCACAGCTCTTCATTTCATTTTCAGACAAGTTAACTATCTTGAAAGAATTATTTCTTAACGACCTGTTGATTTTATTGTGTATTAAAATCTGATTTATGTTGACAATTGTTGAATTTATACCAGGGTTGCCACCTCTTCCGCTTTTTGCGGAAAGTTTCCGCTTTTTTGCTCTTTTTCCGCTTTTTCATATAAAAGACTTTCGTTGTTTAATTGAAAATTTAACCATGCAAGAAACTAGATAACGTGATCTTAGACGAAAATTTCTTGGAAAATAATTTTCTAACGTATAATTCTATACAACTCTTGAAAAATTTTCGCTTCACATGATAGATTTTCCAATAAATTTTTCTAGTGAAACACATTTCGTGTTTATTTTGGCCTCCACTATGAAATACATTCACCTGGATTTGAAATGCCGGTGAAGAAAAGAAAATTTCTTTCAAGTTCTTATTCATTTGTTAATATAATAGATGAAAGCATAGCCACATTCGACAGCTGAATGTAAAGAACAACATTATCCTCTTAGACTTGTAAAAAGC